ATACCCTATCAAGCAGTTCCCTCTGTCGGTCGAATTAAAAAGGTACTTATCCAACGGATTGTTATGAGCTCGATATAACTTTGTCTGTCACCGTTCGGAAACCCATAAAATCTTATCGGTCTTATAACTATCCACTACATAGTTATGGAACCAATAAGGGCAAATATTGAGAAACCGGGCATTAGAATTGTATCCCATTAGGAGGCAACCGAATTTCAAGTTATTCGGAGACATCTACCGTCCGTTAGGGGAAGACGTTCTGGTTCGTCTTGGAGAAAATCCAGAAACAAGCACAAGACGATTGAAAGCTGCAACTGGCGAAAGCAAGTCTTCAGTTCATAGGATTTTTCAGCAAGAAAATCTCCATCCTTGCCATTTTAAGCCGGTACAGAATTTTACGCCAGTATTAGAGGACGATTTTGCTAGAGCCGTTAGTAATTACCTAAACCAACATTTTACAAATCGGTGGATAGGTCGTGGAAGTTCTTGGGCTTGGCCTATTCCTGACTTTCACCCATTAGATTTTTGTGTTTGGCGTTATTTAAAATTATTAGTGTACAATCAAACGGTAGGCACCCGAGATGAGTTGATAAATAAAATTATGAATGCCGCCGAATGACTTCAAAATAAAAATATGTTATTTTAAATTAGACGATTCCTCAATAAACTCATTTCAAAATGTATTGAAGTTAACGGGGGACATTTTGAGCAATTGCAGTAGAAAATGAACGTTTCATTGTTAGTGATTATGATAAAAAGATCCTACTGTTAAAGAATGATGTTTAGTGAATATTTTTTTACTTAGATACTTATCGTGGCTTCTTTTTGAAAATACTGCATTTTGCGGTGTAATCGCAAATATCTCGAAAACAGAGGCTTGTTGGGACATCGACTAAGAATACCTTTTTTGTGCAAAATTAATAGGCGATTTGACCCAACCAACTTAGAAGTCAGAATACCGGGTGACCAATAAGATGACACAATTTTTTTGCCCAGATATCGCCGTAGGTGGTTTTTTTCTACAAGTTGATCAAAATCTGATGATAGATTTGGATTTATTATGCTCAAAAACCCCTGTATACCAAATTTCGTTAAAATGTGCAGCTCCGTTCAAAGTAGAATAACGAAAAACTGAAATTTAAATATAACTTTGACGCCCAGTAGGTCGGCAACCGTCAACTTTCGGACTAAGGTAAGTTGTGTTAAATCATCATATTTTCACCCCAGGAATCCACCATTTTGTTTTGTGCCATTACTCTTGGGACACCCAGTACATGGACGAGCCCAGATAGGAACACTACAAAGATTTCATACTACCATCGATCACAGACTGGTCAGAGCCAAAATTGAATTAAGTCTTGCCAAGGAAGGACATAAAATGGTGGCAAATTCTGATTTATTTTCCTGACTGCGTGTACTTGTGATATTCTTATCTTTCCTGGGTCTCAGTCAAAGTGTGAAGTAAAAATTTTGAATATCGTTTATTTCATTTATAAACAATAACAATAAACTTTGACTGAGACTCTGGAAAGATAAGAATATCATAATGGTGTCAAAGAAAAGAAAAAAAAGGAGAGTTTTATCAGATTATATTCAGAATTAAGGTTTTTTAAAGGTAAATTAATAAGAATAAAGATATTAAGAACAGTATCAGCCAATTTGGACAAAACCCTTATTGACGCAAATGATATCGAAGCTGTAAACAACACCATACTAAATGCAATCAAGCGTGCAGAGAATCGATATTGTAAGAAAAAAGACAATAATGATCACAAGCTTCGACAAAGTACCAAACACCTCATGAGGTTCAGACGAGAACTGCCGAAAGAAGAAATCCGAGAGCAACTGAGAAGCTTGAATAAAGATATATCCAAGGAAGTGAGAAATTATTTAAGAAAGTTCAATGATGATAGTTACTATATTACACAAACTATAGAAGAAAATAAAAGCATGAAGATACTCAGAAAGAACATCTCAAATGGCAAAAAATAAATATTTGCCCTCCAAGGTAAAACCGGTACACAAACGAATAATACGGAAAAGTTACTGTAGATTGCAGAGGAATTCTATCTCCCCAAAACTTTTCACGGCAGTTCTCGAATGTGTTTTTATAACACTGAGCTGGGAGACCAGGGGTGTAAACATTGACGGCGAGAGACTATCATCTCCGTTTCGCAGATGACATTGTACTGATTGCAGATCATTTTAATGATGTTGGATGAATTGAGAGAAGCTTCAAAGAGAGTAGGCCTAAACATGAACATGCAGAAAACAAAACTTATGACAAACCTCGTTCTTTGTGGAACATTAAAAAGTGTCGGATACCAAATAGAACAAGTCTTCGATTATAAATAATTGGGATATTAAATCAGACTAGGTAGAGATAATCAAACTTGCAAGATTCAACGGAGAATACACTTAGGGTGTGCTGAATTTGAAAAACTTCGACATAGTGTCAAAAGGAATATCCCGATTTGCCTTAAAAGGAAAGTTTACGAACAATGTGTCTTGCTCGTAAAAACCTACGGAGCAGAAACGCTACTCTGGCGAAGAAATCGATTCACAAGTTGCAAATAACACAAAAAGCACTGGAAATAAAAAAATATATAACACGACATACGTGGCGGTTGGCTGGCCGTATGTCCGATGGCAGATGGACAAAAAAGGTTTTGGTGTGGAGACCAAGACAAGATAGTAGGTAGGCCGCCGACCCGGTGGACAGATGACATCAAGATAATTGCCGGAAATTGGATCCAAGAAGCCCAGAATAGACCGAAGTGGAAACGCCTTGAGGAAGCCTATGTTCAGCAGTGGACACAAATGGCTAATTGATGATGATGAACATCTTAAATGAACCGTTTTTTTCAAGCAGAGTGGCATTCTGTCAATTTCTCATGACTTAGTCGCAAGGAAACAATATCATCGGGACAGACGGAGCTCAATTTACAAAAAAATGGGGCCGTTTGTTGACATAATCCCATTGTTGGAGCAAATCAAATTTACATGTGTTCAGAGAGCAATTTTTCAAGAAACCTGACTGACAATTTAATGTTTATTGTGCAATTAGAAATTATTGTGTCTTGGAATTACATTTTTATCAAGATGATTTAAATGGCAAGTTAGACCTTCTTCGGATCACCAGACAAATTTTTTTTACATTTTAGAAAATTTTTAAACCGAATATTTGGACAATTTGCCGCTCGGTGTACGTAGACACCTATTTGATCAGCATGATGGCGCCCCTCCAAGCGTGACTACCTCAGCGATATTTTTTTCCAAAATACCGAAAATTTGCTGATCGATGAATGGGTCTTTCCTTAAGAAGTCGTTCTTGAGATCAAGTCTATCACATTCCCATGACAACTAAGCTTTCATAGTTTGCATTTGCATGTAATGCGTGCCTCCACAACTTGAGCTCCGAGCCAACAAGGAAAGTGACCTATGAACAAACTTTTGTCTTTGTGATCTGTGGACTCAATCTCTGATCTGTGGATGTACTGTCGACCATTAACTTTTCACTGGAGATAACCTAGGTTTTCACCTTCTTCCGCACGGCAAGCGGAAAATATTAAAATTAGGGGACTTTCCTGCACCACGCAGTCCAGACTCATGAGAACCCAGCTTTACGACAAGCAACCGTTCTGATATATGAAAGTTGTCAACGGGAGTGCGTGTGACCATTCCCCTAACAGTGTTTAAATCAAGCTTTGCATCTGAGTTCTAAACAAACGCCATATGGTTTAGACCAGATTTTAAATGCTTGGCAGATTGATCAAACACAGTTCACAACTTGTTATTGCTAGGTTTGAAAGCATACTTTGAATTAATCTGAAATTTTACCTCCAAATGACCGAAGAGCTCATCGCACTTGTAATATTTAGTGGTAGACAGCATTTTATCCGACTTCATCAGAAACTCTTCAAGGTGTTCTTTTGACTTCTTGGCCTTGGTTCTCTGTTCTTCTTTCTCGTCTTTCTGTTTTTGTGTTTTATACGCATTAAAAACCTGAGAAAAAATGTATTGAATCAAAAATGGTTAAGACTAGTTATAAAAAAAGCAAGTACCTGCTTCCTCTCATTCAGTTTTTTAAACGTCTCATACCGTGGATCATTTTGAATAATTTTTACGCACTGATCCCACGATGCGTTGGATGGGACATTTTTATCTTTTAATAGGTCTTTAAATGCTTCCATAGCCTCCTTCTTATCCTTATATACTTTCGGTTCGGGAGTCGACGGTTTTGTTTCAGTTCGATCATAATGATTTGACGTATACACATCATCTTCTGCAAAATCAAGAATCTAACATTCTAGCCATACTGTACCAAACTGATAATACAGTTTAACTTACCAGGTCGGTTAGGAGGAGTTGGAATGGAAATTGCTGCTAATGTTGCTGCCATTGCCGCTTCCATCGCGTTACTCTTTGGACCTGGACTGGCAGCTAAATTAACGACTATCTTTACAATTTATTACTTAATGAATTAGTTATTTACTTACTGGAATTTGAAACGTTTGGCGAGTTTGATGGAGAAATGGAAGCAGATATTGAAAAAGGGCTTGTAATTTCTTTGGGTGACACTGGCACGCTTTTTGGTTTAGACCTAAAATATTTATTACATCAATAACATTAAAACATTTCTGCAGCACATTTTATCTTAATCACTCTAAATTAAGAGAACATGTTGGAATACAAAGACCAAATGCATGACCATAGCTAGGGACCCTCTGCGCTGTAAGCTAGTAATAAAAGGTACCATCGTCGACCAAACCATGTCGTTCGAAAACCTGGGATGCAACATAACGAGCACAAGATTCCTAGAGGAAGAGGTGAGAAAGCAAACAAACAAAGCAGCCACAATATCGGGACATCTTAAACATATAATATGGAAAAATAAATACCTCAGTACAGGATGCAAGTCCAGAATCTACAAAACATGCGTGCGACCTATTATGACATACGGGGCAGAGATAAGACCGGAAACACCATTAACAAAGAGGATACAAAGAACAACCGAGATGAAGGTCCTAAGAACAATAACGGGATACACATTGAACCACAGACAGAGAAGCATGGACATAAGAGAAAAGTGCCAAACTGACGACATAGTGAGATGGATAAGAAAGAGAAGAAGAGAATGGAATCTGCATGTAAACAGAATGGATGACGATAGACTAGCCAAAATAGTACGTAACAACAACCCACACGGAAGGAGGCCTATACCGCCTTCTATACGATGATGATGATGATAATGATGATGATGTTTAAATAAAATAATCTATTTAAATATGATATAATACCAGGTGACAATAAAAAAGACAACTATATTGTCATGAATGTGATATGAATAGTTATTATTGTTTTTTATTTTGTTTTGTTTATTGTTTACTTTGAAAGTTTTTATTGTTTTTATTCGATTATCCGTTAAAAACCCTACATATATGTTCTGTTTCATTTTTATTCAACACATTTAAGCTACTTTATTAAGCGCACCGTCAGAACCGTCATGAACCGGGAGCTCGTCCGAGACCGTGTCAATCGAAATCCGAGAGCGAACTCCATGCGAAAAATTGTTTCTTTTTTAGATCAGAAATTAAAATGAAATATAGCTTATTCACAAAGAATTAAGAACGATATAAGCTATTCGTTCGGTGTAAAACAATAGTTTTTTGTCCCTATTTTAATTAAAAAAAAAATATACGTATCGTCAGAATCGAGATTGTCAAGCTCAAGTGATGCTATGAATGAAGAATATCGTTCAACTTTATCTAGGTCTGATGATTCTGAGCCTGGCGTTGAGGTAAATGAAGGACATCGAAAGTCTATAGCGAAACATACTTTTATGAAAATACAAAATAATTCAAAATTATAACTGGACGTAATGACAGAAAATCTATTTATAATTGAACTGATAAAACAATTTACTCAATTAGGTAACAAGTATACATAATTTTTAAGTAAACATTATTTAGTATTACAAAAAAAATGCTTTGATAAGTTTTGCAGAATTAGGAGACGATTTTGGAGTTTCTACAAGTACCTACTGCTAGTAGAATTTTATCAGTCAATTGAACCAATTAACCGGATATCGAAGTTTGATAGTGTGGATGCCAGCTTATAAAGTAAAAAATGGTCTTCCGATACCCTTTAGAACACGTTTTAGCAAAGTTTATGCTATAATAGAATGCTTAGAAATTGAAATCCAAAAGCCAGAAAATCAAACAAGCTTTAACGTGGTCTAATTATAAAAAAATGCAATACAATAAAATATCTGATATCTTCCAGACCAGACGGTATAATTACCTTTATTTCACCCGGCTTTGGTAGTCGTACATCTGATACTGTTATTGTCGAAAAAGGTGGATGGTTCGATAAGAACAAAACAACATCATAAAACAAAAGACAAGATACCGTTTAAATGAACACAAGGACTACATGAAGGCCGGCCTGTCTCGTGACGTCTGACCAATCACATGGCGTTTCCGCATGACGTCAATTTGATCAGATTTGAAAGCCTATTTAATAGCAAATTATTTTTCGGGATTTATTTTTCTTGCAGTGTATTTATTTGCAACAAATCTTGTATTCTAGTATGATTTTAATAAAAAATAAATTTAATGCAAAAGGCCCATTGTAAAATGTTTCTTGAAAAAAAATTCCGAAAATATGGTCAACTTTACTACTTTCTGTACTTACTCTTCTGTAACCCTTTTTTTGATCTCTTCCAATTCGGGTGGTATAATCCATCGTGATTCTTTTGTGTTAATATTATGATAGTATGTTTTTCCATTTTCAGCAGTAAATTCTTTCCAGGGACACTGACACAATTCCACCTATAACAAACAATATTATAACTCTATCTGCTCGATATTGCATTAAATTAATTTTGTTTATATCATTTAAATAAAAAAATGTGCACTTTAAGTCGCTACAACGAGAAATCGGAAATGACTTCTTCGATTTAAGATTATATTAGTGAAGTAAACTTTGGCCAACAATACCATAGAAATTTTATATTAGGATATGAAAAATATTTACCATTTACAAACAGACCTGCTTTAATTTAGTGGAATTAACTTCAATGGAGTCCCGGAAGACAACTGTTTTTTTTTAAGATTTTTTAGAAAGCTCTTTACTTTTTGAATCAAATGGTTTTTTTTTCTAAAATCATACACGAATAAGTCGAAGAGGGTGTCTATTTATAGTGGCATGTGATTGCTTCCTTAAACGGCATATTCTCTTGCAGCAAATGAACCGTGGTGCTTTAATTAATATTTACCTCTGCTGGTGTCTTTAAACAGTCCGGCTTTATCCAACTACTTTGCTTTGTAACAATGTTGTAATAATATGTTCGACCATCAGGTGCTTTGTGCTCAGTCCACTCACTGATTGAACCGCCAAGTGAAGGTAAGACAGGAGGTATAGCAGGAGCACCAAATCCTGGAGGTGGCACACTGAATGGGGCTGGGATAATCGGGCTAAATCCGGACATACCAGAAATCGGTACCTACATAAGTAAAGAAAGAATACTTATCAATGCGTCTATGAGATATGCATTATATCGCAAGAAAAACGTTTACCTGAGGCATCAGTGGAGGCGTTCCAATGCCTGGAGGAGCAACAAAACCTTGCGATTGATCCTAAAATTATATTAATTGAATTGAACGATATTTTATAGCTTCCAAATATACTCCGCCACAAAGCTAAAGCACGAGGCCATACATATGAAAGTACTTACAAAATATGATTGATTAGAGTTAATAGAACTGAGCAATAACGACAAACAAACTCAACAACCAAACGAAATTTTAATGAAAATGTAATTTGCTTACCATTCTGGTCGCTGCTTGTGTCAACAAAAATAGCGAAAATCAATATATTTCATTCGCTCATAACTAAATTAAATAAGATAATTTAGATATTTTTTAGACTTCCGACCACTTCCCTAAATTGCGGCTGCTACACCAACACAAAATGACAAAATCCGCCAGACCAACCTAACCTGTTTTCTTCTTTTTGTTCTTTCTTTTTTTCTATAGGATCGTTCCTCAGTTGAGTCTTCCCCATTACTAGTTTTCCCAACAAGTGCACCCGCGGGTCACAGTCCATGCCTGTGGTATGGAGGATTTTTGGACACAATTTTGAGACTCTTTTATGTTAACGTGCTCACTTATTATTAGTACTTGTCACCATGCGGGATTTTGTGAATTTCTTATGCAAAAATGGATTTGCTGTTCTTAATTACCATATCGTTATTTGATAATTTATAGCTACTATTTCTCTTATTTCATGTGTATTCGTGTAATATATTTATTTTCTTCTTTTCTTTTAGTTTGTATTTCGTTGTAGTAAAAATGTTGCAAGTAGTTGCAAAAACTTGGAATATTTCATTTAATATAGCATCACTGTATTTCCTAATACAATAATATTATACAACACGAAAACGTGGTCAGTCCTTTACTTTTTGACAGATCCGAATTGGCATCGTTGAATGGGAGGTATTGAATTCAAATTTAAAAGAAGAGAATTGAAAAGTTAGAAGTGTCAGATTAGATGTCAGACTTTCAGAGAAGCAAATTGCTTTTTCCAATTATTTGTAAAATATCTTAAATATTTATAAAAACAATAAACATGAGTAGGGAATTCGTGTGGGCAATCAAGAATGGAGATTTAGAACAAGTGAAGCTAATTGTAGAGAAACAGGTAATTTCAATAAAACAAATCATTCCTTACGTTTACATGTTTTTCAGCAAATGACTCATGATTGATTCTTCAAATCTGAAGCATAAAATGCTTGAACGTTAAACCTTTTAATGAGCTACTAATGTTTTTTCGTAGCATATAGACGTTAATCAGGAAGTAGATGGACGCCCTTCAATTTTATATGCAGCAGATTACGGCCAAAGAGCTGTTATGGAGTACTTACTTACTGTTGGAGCTGATGTAAATGTAAGTTCATTCCGTGTATGACTAGTAATTAACTAATTGGAAGTATGCAATGTTATGTGAAGTTCTAATGTGCCATACACTCAGATTTTCCCCACAGCAACATATTTTTTTTACATTTTGAAAATTGCAGGATTTACTCGTCTAAATAATTAGAAAAATAAACTATAACAATATGCGCATCTCATATAAGCTGTTTTGTATCAGAATTACCGACTGACTATATATTTATGCGGATAGAAAATAGAACAGTATTTTTTATAGCAACTAAAATCGGAATTGGCTAGTTTATAGCCCAATCGCGTTCGAATTTATTACCTAAAATAGCAGACCTTGTCGATATTCTTTTACTAACAAGTTTTTTGGGTCATTTTCTAGTTGCTCTAGCTCATGGGTGTGAAGCTAACAATATACTCACTATAGATAATCGTTCTACTAACGACTTTTCAAAGTGGTGTTTCTTGTGGAGTGGTTTTTGACCACTTCTTACTCACTAAATTTCACTACTGAAGGTTACAAAGGTCGCCACTGACTTCTTATGACAAAGTGTCTCCAACTGAAAAATATTTTTTAATTTGAATATAGACCCACCAAGGCATTAATTTACTTTCCTCTATCTAAGACCTTTGTTATGATATCTAGCAAACACTTCGGAAAGCAAACCGCATAATGATATCCGGATTAATAATCGATCGATTGTCACTGCGGCGACATTAGATAGGGTCTACATTAAAATCGCAGTGAACCGGTTGTATTTAAAAATGCTTTATCGTGAAAATACTAGTAGCAAACCAATTGTGCGACGATATAAAAGATAATGAGCGGATGAATAGATAGTGTTTTACACTCGCATTTCCGGTCCATATATTAGCTATTAACAATTTATTGCAAAAAATGTTGTCTTTTTTGTTTATAACTTGGAAACTAATGGAGCAATCGGAATACCCCAATGCGATGATTAGTTTCTGAGAAATTTAGGAAAACCCGAAAAATTGAGTGTTTTTTTTTGAAAATTGATTGAGTTGGAGCTCTAAAATTCCGACCAGCGCTAGTGCTGATGCGAACCCAATTATTTGATTGTTCTGCGCTTGTCAGAACCGCTGGTCTTTCCTTTAATCCTAGAATTCCTAGAACCCGTAACGAACGGGTTCTGAACCAGACCCTACTGTAGACAGAACTTTCGGTTCAGAACGACTAATTTTTTTCGCGCATGCGATCAGTTCCGAACCAGTTGTGAATCGTCACGGCGAATAAAGCTAATACTAAGTATATTCCCATGATACAATGCATACAAGGTAGGATATTAATCGGACGGAAACTCGATTTTCGTGCGCACATGACGTCACTGGTTAGCACTTTGGTAAAGTGAACAGCTGATCCTACTTAAAATGCATGTAACCTAGACAGATTTTCATTGAATTTAAAACGCAATAGTTCAAAAGTGGAAAGTTATATACTCATATACTTTGCAATGTATAGCTCAATGCTTTTAAAATCGCGTTTGTAACCTGATTTGGGCTTAGTGCGAAGAAAAATACCCTAAAAAAGTATTTACAAAATCTCTGATTTTCAGCGTTTTAGCTTGCTGTGTTGCCAGAGTGTCATTCGTAAAAACGGGTAGAGCCAAACGAAACAATTAATTCATTGTATCATTCAATGAATTATGGGGTGAATCCGTTTGGGTGTGTTTGGAATCTTGTAGGCAAACAACTTAGCATTTTGCATTTGGTGGTTGGAAAGTTTACTGTAGAACGTGTCCAAGCTATGGGAGAATGCTTTTTGTCGTGCGAATATGCCCTCAGCATTTCAAAAATGATGATTATGAGAGGAATTTGCAATTCAAACTTTTGGGGTACTTACCAAAAGCAAACGCTATACTTTATTGCACATCTGGCAACTATGCTAGCCTACAAAATAAATACATTTTTGTTACTTTTTATTTTCAAGTTTAAAACCTGCTGCAAAGCATTTTGTAATTATAAAGAAGATTTATTAAAAAATAATTAAAT